CATCTACAAATAAACCTACTCTGCTCTGAATGCCAGAAGTGGAGCAAAATCAACCCGTAAATGGATTGAAATCAGTAAGAGTGCTCAGTTCTAAAACTGAGAAAAGCACTTCAATGAAATCAAAATAGACCTTAGGTATTATTTTGCATTTTCACTGGAAATTGTTTGCAGGATTCATTTATGGAGGAACATAAGAAAGGATGCCATGGTAATCAGCCCCCACTTCAAATATACTGTACATGCAACAACTGGTGACTTCAATTAATATTTAAATTTTAGTCCGATTGATGAACATCAATAACTAAATTGGACTGGGAGGCTAGAATATGGGTATACATATAAATATATAAATGGAGCTGCAAATTGGTGTTTTCCTTCTTTGTTCAAATGACTTTCCTCTCCCACACCTCTCTTGTCACCCAGGAAGATTATACATCCTAAAAGTAGAGCAGTGATAAGGCAGAGCCATGGCATGCTGTAACGTGCAGAGTGTTCCAAAGAGGCTTAAAACAAAACAAGAAAAGCTGCCAGAGATCAGCCTCAGCATGTACCCAACCAGTTCTGGCCATTTTTATGCTGATTTTGTAAACAAGTCCCATTTAGAACATACAGCTACCATATGATATCCGTGCCTATACATCAAATCAAAACGGATATTTAGGAATCTAGGATGGCATAGCTCTGCCAGTGTCACAAAATAAGAAACCTAGAGTAAGTGAAAATAATCATGTTATTGAACAATAGATACAACTGGATAAAATGTTCCAGTGTAGAGTGCCTCTGTTTAGTGTTCCGGCCAACTAGTCATGCACTCATCAAAAATACTCTTGTATATTTTGGCAGTGCTGAGTTTTTCCCAAGCCTTCTGATACCTACCTGTTGTGTGTGGATAGTTGTTGGCTTGGCTATATAAAGAATCTACATTTGAAATTCGCTCCTACATAAAGATATTTGGAATGAAACGCAAAGCAAATTAGAGCTACTTAGCAATCACACTACGTACAGTGAAGGTAATCCTGATTTAACCAGGGTTGATTTCTGCAAATGGTAACGTTTGATGTAAGACTCTGTTCCCTTCCTCTGTTAAGAAATAATCTCCCAACAGATGTTACTTTACAGTGTATATATACAGAACCATGCTTCTTGCCTGCATTTCTAGCCTGGAGCTACATGTGCAGTGGCAATGTCCCTAGGTGAGAATACAGACTATTTCCAAAGGATA